ATCCTTTTTGCAACCACCCTTCAGGCTTCAAAGGTTGCTCTTCATTCCCCCCTCAGTCTTCTTTTCTCCAGACTAAATCGGCCCAGTTCCCTCACCCTCTCCTCACCACTCCTGACCCCCAGCCCCACAACCAATTTCGTTGCCCTCCACTGGACTCTCCAGTGTGCCCACATCCTTTCTGTAGTGGGGGCCCCACCACTGGCACAGGACTCCAGATGTGGCCTCCCCAGCGCTGCATAGAGGGGAAGAATCACTTCCCTTGATCTGCTGGCAGCCCTTCTAACACTCCTGTTTTCCACTGGCTAGTCCTTGCTTAGCCTTAGTGCCCATGGGCCAGCAGAGTTTGATGGCCGCTGGTCTGGGGGGCATTAATGAGTCTTGTTTGTGGCTCATTTGCTAAGCTGCTGTGTCCCACAGGCAAAGTCAGTTGATTTCTCCAAGTCTCAATTAACCTAACCAGGGTTATTATTTTATAAACTATCTCTAGCTCCAAAAGAAAGGGTCTAAATAAATGTCACCTTTTGTTTATTCATAAAAACCCCATCACCCAAATTAACAAGCCTTAGGGGTCTTACGGGGCATTGTCAAGCTGAGTTGATTTGGGTTTATCTTTTCTGAAGCTTAAATATTTCACAGACTGTGTTTTCTTGCCCTGCTCTGGAATCTTTCTGCCAGTTTTTTTGGGGAGGGGTTGACACTAACCTTATCCTGTGTTTTTTGAGGTGGTTTAGGGGAGCAGGATGGTAGCAAAAGATCCAGGCAAAAAATAGGGGAAGCTGATGAAGCAGAGGAAAGGAACCGGGAAATGAGCTCTGTATAAAGCACCTTCAGAGGGCTGGAGAGATGAAAAGAAAGAGTTTGGTGCTGTGCTTGTCCTTTAGGTCATTAGTAAACCATTGTGTCAGCATAGCACTACAGTGGTAGGTACTGGCTGCCTGTGAGTGATGGGTGACAGAATTGTGCATGTGCCTTATCAAGAGCTCTCGGATGGAGTTGGCCCATAAAGACTCAGATGTGTAATGTAGATTTGGGGCCCAGTTCAGCTCCAACTCGGAGCCCTTGCTCCGGTGCCTGGAGCTCTGCTCACCCATCCAGAGAGCATTCAGAGCGCGGTCGCAGATGGCGCAGTGGTGTGGATTCCTGCTGCAGGCGATGCTCCTTGCCCAGCCGGAGTCTGCCTAGCCCAGGGTCTCTCTGTTTTGACCATAAACACAGGCATTATGCATAGCCACAATGGGAGCTGATCAGGAAAGATAGCAACCTGCCCTGCACCCGGTCTGCCCTGGCGTGGGCCTCAGCACTTGCTGCAGAAGACGGGAAAGGACTGTGGACACACATGGCTGTGTTTTTTCTCTAGCATCCTGCTGTGTCTGAGATTGCTTCCCATTACAGAGATGCCCTTCAGCTTCTGTTGCCTTTTTCAGCAATAGGCAGAAGAAGGGGAGTGGGGGCAAGACGTAAAGACACATCTCAAAGGCAAGCGAAGGCTGATGGCTTGGAACTAGGGTTGGGTGTTTGACTGATCAAATAAAGTTTGCTCAATTGACCAGTAAAACATTGTCAATAGGTCCAAATAATACACAGAAAAAGCACGAATTTTCCATTAAGAAACAGATAAAAAATCTTATTTCTGTCACACAAACTACAGAAAAAGGTAAGTTGTTTTTTTTTTTTTTTTTCGTAAAATTGCTATACATTTTGTCTGGTCAAAAGAGATGCAGTCAATTGACCAGTCAGTTGGTAATATTTGACCAGTCATTTGCTAACCCTGCTTGGAACATATCAGCATTGAGCTTGCAGGTCCCTCCATTCCTGGAGCAGCTAAAATCCAGCTGGATTAGTGACTTCCCATTGATTATAGCAGAACTCAGGTGACTGTCCTACTTGAAAATCCATTGTTTGGATAACTGTGTAGGCTGTCAGAAGTTGGCTCTTGCTAGCCACTGTGTCGCTGCTCTGTAAATTCGTTTGAGATGCCCCTAGTGCTGACTCTTCCCAGAGTGACCCTGGCCGGTCTGAATATGACTAACCCTTGAAAGTGATATAAGTTGGCATTGGCTAGATTTATCCTGCCCACTGCCCAGGCATGTAGCAGACACTAATGCCCGTGGTGAATGGGTTAGCCTTGGATGCTTGCAGGAAAGCAGAGGCACGACTCCCAGCCTGCGTCCCCTGGGCCACGTACAAAATTGCAAGGGTTTGTAGTTTGCCTTTGTACGTTACTCTCAACAAATCCCATTTACATTATACATGGCCTGCTCCTTGTACTTAATAAGATCTGTTACAAGACCTTTCTACTCCCTGGATGAATCATCCTCTTGTCTGTACATCCCATTGTTATTGCATGTATTTTAGACCATCCTGTACCAGCTTCATCAGTTAACCTTGTGATGAATCTGTATGCCTGAACCATGCATGCATTTTCCAGCTTAAGCTTGTGTAAGCAGTTTGTGTATCAGTCACGGCTCCAGCTGGCCCTACGTTGGTCAGAGCCTTTATGTAGGCAGTATATATACTGATCACTGCTCTAGCAAGGCCTGCACTGCTGCGTGCAACTTGTAGGCAAACTTAAGGGGTAAAACCAAGATGGAGAGTAGGACTGCTGATGGGAGACGGGCTCTTGTAGGGAGGTCTGCCTTTTCTCCATAATTATGGAGGTTCTTCTATAAAACCTCGTCTTGTCCCTCCAGCTGGCTGGATGCTTTAGTTTTTAACAAGATTCATTCTCTAGGAGAGTGCAGATTAGTTAATCCTTGAATTTAAACTGTTTGCTACATTACAAACCTGTCTGTGTTGGAACTGCTTCCTCCTTGACGGTTGCATCCTTCGTTCTCAGAAATGGGACCCTGACTTATCCCTGCCCTAAGGAGAACTTCCTTTGTAGGGGTGTTGAGTACAGCCAGAACTTGTTGCATCCTGTCCCTTCAGCTTTGTTGGGGGACTTGAGTGAGAGGATGGTTGTCACGAGTAGCTTTGAATGAGAAGGGCGTTCTTGTTCCTAGAACATGCGTTGAATGAAAGCATCCACCCTGCCACCCCAAGAACCCGTTTGCTGCCGGGGCGTGATTTACTGCAGTCTGATGTGTAGCCATATCTCAGCGTCCATACTTTTATCTATGTCCGTTCCAACCCCATGCAGAGAGACCGCCTCCTTCCCCGTTCATCAGCTCTTTCCCTTGCTTGAATCAGATGTTCTTCATTTAATTGTTCTTTTAGAGTCCTTAGGCAGCCATATTTGAAAGGGGGGCCAAAGTTGAACACAAGTCCCCACTGATGCCCCTAAGTAACTAGTGTGATTTCTCAGAGGATCTGAGCAGTGGCTGTTGCCGTTGACTCTGATTGTAAACTTGACTGTGTATAAGGTCAGAAATATGGGTGTAGGTGTCTGCGCTGGTGAAATTTGGCCTGTGTTGGTCTTGGTGCTTAGTGCTGTCTGAGACCTGTTGGCTTTCAATTTGAACTAACAGTAGGGGGGCTTCGAAGCCTGGATTTTGCAGGAAGGAAATGCACTGCTAGGTGACTCTTCCAAGCCACAAGGAATTGCCATCTGACTTGCAGGCTGTCAAGACTCCTCCTAGATCCTGAGCACCTTCAAGATCTTGGTGTACGTCCCTCTGTGAATGTTAGCGTATCCGTTCTATACAACGGGATAGAGGGATGGAATCAAATTCAGAAGTCTCGACTGTATTGGCTCTGTCCAAACTATGGACAAGTGGACAAATTAAAAGGGAAAGGGAACCTACCGCATGTCAGCTGTTCCCACAATAGCAGTCCATGTGTCTGCTTTCACGCAACAATAAGTGGAGGCTAACCTAGGACAACTTAGCTGTGTTTCATTGAGTGGCTAAACTGCTTCCATTTAGCTTCTGCTTACTGCAAGTTGAGAGCATGTGCATGGGGCCTCACCCCAGCTGACACATGGTTAGCTTCCACCTCCTTTTATCCTGCTGTAATTAGGTTGTCCATGCCCTTGTTCAACACTTTGGAAGAGCCTTGTTCTTAAAGGTACCACCTGGGATCAGTCCAGGCTAATAATGCCTGGGTTATAGGGTTGGGGGAAGGGGTAGATGGGCAAACTCCTTCAGTGTTTGTGGATGTGGAGGAGACCCATAAACCCAGCTACAGCCAGGCAAGAAGAAGCCTCTTGGGTACAAGGAGTGGTTAGGACTGTGGCCCAGGAGGAGTGGGAGATCATTACTGAAAGAGAACAGCTGTGGGTTTAATGTCTCTGTGCAGGTTATACCTGTTATGGCTGTTCCTCAGCTTAAATGATCCTGTGTTGCCCATCAGAAGATGTACCAGTGAGCTTCCCTGCTGTCTCCAGCATACTGATGGATTGCTAGGACTTCAGGCTGATGGGCAACCATAACAAATTCAGGCCTGCTAGGTACAGCAGGGACTCCTGTCCACTAGGAACTGGGCCGGTTCGCTTCATATTGGCTACTGAAGAGCTGTGGCTCTGTTGCGTGTTACTGCTCTGGCCTGTGTTGGAACCAGGAACCTTGAAGCAAAGGAGCTGGGATTCTCTTTCCAGCCCCAATTCAGTGCTGCACCCTGCAGTGGTGCTCAAGGCTTTGGCCCTGCAGGCCAGGTGAAGGACACTGGTTTGATCCACAGGGTGGATCGGGTCCTGCACACTAGATCAGGCCCTCACACTGCCTCTTCCCAAACCCCTGCTCTGGAATGAGGCCTCAGGGCTGTGTGCCAGGATTGGGCCTCATGCTGCCCTGGCACACCAGGATCAGGTGCCAGAGCCTCACCAGTGCTGGGATCAGGCCCTGGGGCCCCATGCCACCTCTGCTTGGCTCTGTACACTAGGGTTGGGCTCTGCATCCCCTACCCTCCCTGAGGGGTTGGGCCCCACACCGCCCTGCATATCTGATCTAGTCCACAGGGCCACAGCCTGTGCGGCTCTCCAGGAACCCCTGGAGAGTTTCACAAGCCAGATGACCCAGTGCCAGGGACTAAATCTGCCTCACAGGTCAGGGGCTGAGCAGTCCCGGTCTAAGGCAAAAATGTTCTTACTGAAGCCGTGTCCTTTTACAAACAGGTTGTTGTCAGAGGGCGCAGATGTGAATGCCAGGCACAAGCTCGGCTGGACCCCGCTCATGGTAGCAGCCATCAACAGAAATTCTAGGTAAGTGTGTCCCACTGTAGCAGGTAAGTCACTGCATGGTTTTTTCCCTTTTGATAAATCACAGGGACTCCACTGAGATCGAGCTCACTTGAAGGCTGCCTCTTTGCTTCCTGCCCCTGGATGTGGCTGCTAATTAAGTCTGAGACGATATGTTTGTGTTCTTCATTCACCTACATATGTAACTTCAGCTGAGCCATCTGGTCTGCAGGCTTGGTGGGAGGAACACTGAATAGTAAATTACCCACACCACTTTCTACCCCTGCTCTGAGTTTCTTTGGGAGGACTCCCATCTGGCCAGGCCTTCCCCTGTTTACCTTGAGAGTTGCTGAGATCCCAGCCTAGGGATGGCATTGTTGCAGGTAGTGTGGTATCAGGAACTCAGCTGAAGTCTTGAGCAGCTCCTGGAAGAGCGACTGCTTCTCCCCAACCACTGGCTTTCATGCTGTGGCTTTCTGAACCAAGAAGGCTGAGTGATGCACCCAACCTCTTCAGTTCCCATGATGATCACTGTGGCTTCTGGTAACCTTTAAAGGCACTCTTCAATAGATTCAGTCTACAACTAAATTCAATTAGTTTTTATTTAAAAATACAAGGGAGGGAGAGAAATCCAATTTTAGCCAACGTGGTACAGACGGCCGAGCGCACTTTGATGTTACAACCTCTCGGGGGCTGCTTTACTTAGTCACAAGTTCATAAGCAAAAAGGCTTAATTACTTGGGAAAACACAGGATTAAAGAGGGGCACAAAAGCTGAATATCCGCTCTCGGGCGCCACAATTTGAACCCGTGTGCCGAGTTCGTGTGTGGTGCAAACTTTGATGTGTGCTATGACAAGCTGAAAGTCGCGACCTCCTCGGGTTGCCCCTTCAGATGGGCAGAGAGGCGGGGGATGTGGGGCTGTTTGTTTAACTTTGATGTCCGAGCAGCAACGGGCCCCGTTGTTTGCTTGTCCGTGGAGGGATGGATTTGAAACCTCCCACCTTTGCCGGGGGACAATGGTCAGCGATGGAGTGTGACGGTTGTTGACCATTCCGAGTGACTGGTGGACCAGAACAGGGCTTTGGGGGCGCAAAGGCAGGGAGACAAGGAGAAAGGCCGATCGCAGGATGAGAACTGCCCCGCATGGATCTCCCTTCTCATTCTTTGAGATACGCAGCCGAAAATTTGGATAGAAACGGTGACAAAAACATCGAAGGGCTCACAGGCTGCCTGCACCGAAGCTGGTCTCGTATGTTGGCATAGTACAAACAGTCGCATCTTATCCAACAAAGAGATGCAATGCTTTTGGCTCTTGGGTGAATCATGTTTATTTCCTCCACGTTTTGGAGGATAATTTCTGCCATCTTTTTAAATGAACGAAGTCCTTGAATAGGTGACACGCAGCATCACTTGTCTCTGACAGAGCCATGAAAGGCTGATCAGATAATGCCATGAAGGCAAGTATAAGCATGGGCCAGACTTGCATCTGGTGGGATTACTCCATCGGCATTGCTCAGGTTACACCAGGGGCGAGTTTGACCCCTCTCGCTATTTCCAGCTTTGCAGTGTACACAGTGGTATTGCATTACTGCCTGGGAAATGTACTGAGCTGGAAAGCAACACAGAGGATGTTTGACATTTCCCCACAAGATGCTCATTCACATATGTAGTCCAAATACTGACCTTTTTAACCCGAATCCCAAAGAACCTGGCTTTGTGTTTGTCATTTGGGGCTTCAGGGCTATGGAAGTGGAGAAAACTCTGGGAATTGAAGGCTTTTGATTCAATGACACAGGTTTGCCCTTCGAATTTTAAGTACTTGGGCTTTTCCTCTCACATGCAAGATGCCTGTTGGGTTCCTGGAACTCTTTCAGTTCTTTTCTCTTTTCTTAGCAGTCAGCTAAGAATAGTATTACCTGAACCAGTTTAAACATAGCTTAGCCCCTTCTGGGTTGTTGACCAAACCTAGTGCATAGCTAAAAAGGGTCTGAGCAAGACTGTCTCTAGTGCAGTGTTGGTCTGTGCTAATTGCACTTTCTTCTTTACACCAACATTTGTGAAGCTGTGGCTCTGCTCACAAGCGACTATGCAAAAATGGCACCGTCTAGTTGATATCTGCTCCTCATGGATAAACAGCCAGAGCCGCCAACATTTACTGACCACAATAGCTTGTTACTGCTTTTCATCCTCTCTAGCCCAAGAGAGCCAGGACCACGGAGACAGAGCGAGCCGGGTGGTTGTTTAACACATGCATCTGCACGAGTAGCACATTTTGCTACTGCTGGCAATACTTGAGCCAGAAACTCAGCTTGGCTTTTGGATGCATGGAGAGTTGGTGGTGCTATCAGCCAGTCCGGAGGCAGAGAGGACGTCAGCATGGAGCCCTGTGTTGCTTTCTTTCAAGCCCCTTTCCTGGGTAGAACTCGCTCTTTCAGGCTTTGTAACACTGCTGTTAATTTTTGTGACTATCCTTTCACTTAGTAATCTTTTGCCAGTTCTCGCAGCCCCCTTCCTTCACATTGGAAGGGTACAAAATGGTTGAACTGATTTTTTTTCAAAGCCACAGCTTTAATGACTTTCGCCAGTTAAAAGAATAAAACCCCATGTGCCAGTGGTTTTAGTTTATATGGGACAGTCCTTGTTGTTCTGCAAAGTTTTCACCGTTTTCTGACTGTTTCTTCAAAAGCCTGGCCTGTTCTGATTTTTTTTTTTTTTTTTTTTTTT